CAGAGGTACAGAACTCATGCATTTTAAGAGAGAAAGGAAAAAGAAAGCTTTAGTACTATTGTAGCTTCAGCATGTAAGCCATAACAAGAATGTACAAACAATGTCAAACAAATGACAACTCATATTTATCTTAAACTTCATTTACAAGTAGTCAAACATGGAAAAGAATCATATGTACCTTGAAACAGCAATTGAAAACCAAAGCTAAAATGAAAGAAAACTGCTGAAGAATTTCAGAAGTAGAAAACAACAACAGTAACCAGCACAGCTTCAGCAAACCAGTGAATCCCAGAGTTTTAAAACCAAACCAAACACTTGAAAAACCAGAAACTCCAGTAAATAATCCCAGAAAAAAATTCTCTATTTCAATCCATTTTCAGCTTGTGAATCAAAAGAGGAAAGTTTTTTGGAAATCTAAGGTTTTCTAAAATTTGGAAAGAGGAACCTTTTTTGCAAAGAATGATGCTTATAATATGCTAATGATGTGTCAATTGTGTAAATTCGTTCTCTCATGGGTGAAGGAAAGGTACTATATATAGGCCTAGAAAATGCCATGTGCTGAAGGAATAAAAGAATCATTCCCTCAGCCACAAAAGGAATATTTTTTAACAGATTTGGACAGCTGGCTGTCCCTCATTGGTTTTAGTACTTTGTACTAACCAAATGACGCCAGCTGCCCCCCATCCTAGAACATTTCCAGCATAGACCTTATCCTATTTCAGAATTATCCACTCCCTGTTATGACCCCTTAAGTTTCTTTTTTGTTCATTTGACCCCTCTAACTTCTTAGCTGTTTAATTAACCCCCTGAAAGTTCTGAATACTTATAAATCAAAGCAAACAACACAAAACAAGAACTAACAGGTAGTAGAAATCAAATGGCACCAATTTCCTAAACCCAAGTATGTTTATCATTGAGATGGAAAAAGAAAACCACATTTGAACAATTGAAACCAATATCACTATTAACTAAATGAGGTTCAAGTCAATTTAAACACTGGCATCAAACAGGGCACCAACCTATAATGAAATATTGAACCTGCTTGTTTTTCAAACGAATTTGCCTAAGCATGAACATAAACCAATCCGGATAAACCCTAGCCAAAACAAAACTGAAAATCTAATGACTAATCCTAAAATACTGGCTAACATTCAATGATTAAGCACAGAGGTAAACAAATAATCCTAAAATGCTAAAAACCCTAAATCATGCAACTAAACAGAATATCAGTCATGAAGAAAAAATCAAGAGAAAGGGGAAGAAAATAACAGAGGAAAACAAACAAGAAAGAAATACCTATATTCGCTCCAAACGGAATCTACTAGGGACTTGACCAAGCCTTAACGAAGCATAAGTGACCTTGAACTACCATTAATCGACTGTTCTAGACAAGAATAGTCGACTAATGGCTGTTTTGAGGTCACTTGATCAAGCTTTGACCGAAAAATCAGAAAGGGCAGAGAATTAGGGTTCAACGATTTTGAGATTTAATATTCGAGGAGTTTGGCTGGGATTTTTGGGAAATCAATGGTGAGACAGTGGTGAGGGAAGGTTGAGGACTGTGGAGTGTGATTTTGGAGCGGATTGGAGCAATTAGGGTTTTTGAACCTAAATTTTCGATCTAAATTCGAGCTGTTTGGGAGGGATTCGAAGGTCATGGGTAATGGATTCGGGAAGAGGAGGATGAGAGGATCTTATGGTGTTAATTTGGTGGTGTTTGGACCACCGGCGCCTCCGTGGGCGATTTCCGGCGGGTGGAGCCGGTGAGGGGTAAGAGAGAGTGTGAGAGAGATGAAGTGAGGGGTTTTTGG